AAAAGAATGAAGCGTACTCACCCTGCGTTCACATTGTTGAATGTGACTTTGGATGGAGATTGAGATACAGGCATAGGCACGGTGGCCTTATACATTCCATTCAAATACAACCCCAATGATATCTGTTCCTTCTTCTCAACGTCACTTTCCGTTTCCCAAGTGATGATTAGCTCAACATTCCCCTCTGGAGGTAGCACCTGGGACTTGGGAACGACGTCTGTAATTTTGAAGCTCTTCACACCCGGCGCCAACGAAAACATCGCTAGATATCTAAAAGTCAGGGTCATTCAGTAAAAAGCAAAGTACATCCAACTAAGACGTACATCGCTATGCGTACCATTCTTGCGGGCGGGAATTATCATCAAGACAAACCACAAATTACGCCCTTTTGAGACCTTCATGATCTCGTAGCTCATTATGTAAATAATGTAATCATCTTTCAACCCGGACACTATGCGTGTCGACCCCTGATGCAATCAACGAACGTTCAACTCTGCCGCAAACTCGGAGCGGAACAAAATATGGACAGTGACGCAACATGGGGCAAATGATAGTGCACAACTGTTACTGTCGCGAATTAGATGAGGTCTTGAGGTCTCAGCATACAATGACTAAGTATGCGCCTGCGCCGCTGAAAGGTTATGAAAGGCGAGGATGGCAGGAAATAGATGTTAAGATGAGTGACTACATAGAGTGATCGTAGGCTCTACGCATGTACTGTATAACCACAACACAGAATACCTCTCCGACTTCCTGGACTTGATCTATCTTCCTTGATCGCTTCTAATCGATCCGCCGTAATTGATAATGATCATCCAACGATACCGAACCCAACATGACCCAGAAGCACCCGTCTTCAAACTTCCAATTCTCAACTCTCTAATTCCATGTGACGGAAGAAACAAGATGGCAAGCCAGAGCGTAAGCAGTAAATGCGTGAGCGAATGACGGAGTCTCAAACTCACCCAACCTTCGAGCGTCTTGCAGTGACACGTGTAAGACACAGATATCAGCCTGTCAAATTTCAAAGTCTACGAGCCATTCGAGAGGGAGTATGTCATGATCCGGTCCGCTGTCATAGTTCACACGCGTTACAGTCGGACTCACACTTGTTTCTGTCTTTTAGTTCACACTTGTTTCTTTCAGTTACTTAGTTACTAATCATTCAGTTCCATATCTCCTGTTTCATTGAGTAGTACTTAAGTAGATTCTCCTTGTAAGTATTTACTCGTCGAATCAACACCGTATTTTCTCCTTCATTCCCTTTTAGGGTCTCTATTTCTCACGCATTCCGAGGGTGATCCTCACAGAGTAGCCATGAGGAACGTTTGGTATCATGAACTGTCGAGGGAGATTCGCGCATGATTTATGTCTGCATTCAGCCTATTCATCATTCTGCGTAGCACTTCGATGTGCAAGCAACGGGGTATCAAACTTGACTCTACAACTAGATTGCAGCATCATACCGAGGTGGTAGATCAAGAACATTTGAATCTCCAGCATCAGACGGGGGAGGCAGAGGCCTGAAACCACTATCATCGTGGTATCTCACTCGAAGTTCTCTTCGGGATTCCTGTAATGCTTCCGGGACTTCCTGCTGTCTTCCATCTAAGACGACATCAGGACTAGAAGCATCACCCCCATGAGGCTTCTCCGCGTGTTCATAATGATTCTGAGACACCGGTTGCCGTTGAGTTCTACCTGCCGTATCAGATGCCGGTGCCGGATCTGAAAATGGGGAAATGGTCGTTATTTGCATAGACCGAAGCTTCTTTCTCCGAGCCCGGCGCCGGAGTATGATAACGCAAGAGACGATGATCAAAACAACCACACCAACGACGGGTCCGGCTATGAGAGCAGCCATATGGCGGCCATGGGGCTGGTCTTGGATGTTAGAACTGTTTCCAACAGGCGTAACGCTGCACAAAAAGGTCAGGACCATCGAGTGCTGAACTGAAGTTAGCCACACCTTGGGTTTGAACCGCGAAAGCTGTCACTGATCACAGAGCTTGTCGCAGAATCGTTTGTGGAGTTGGCGGAAGTGAATGTCCCACTTAAATCACTTTTACTGGTTCCGGTATTGGTCTGCTCACTAATTGTTGTCGCAGTCGCGGATGAGGCCGTCTGCGTTGCCGTAGATGACACAGTCGTGGGTGGTGTGCCATTTGCGGGTGTAGAAGTTGTCTGCTGTGGATCATCATCCCGTGGATTTGTGACAGGTGGTCGTGATTGGGGGCTGTACAGAGCAGGGTTCGCATTCGGTGTTTAAGTAATACCATAGAAGCGATGGTTCTTACCTTCCCGGTGGATCTTGCGCTTTTATTTCAATGGTATCTTGTGAAAAACCAATTGGTATAGGGCTGAGTGCTCAATTAGATAATCACACATCCTAGAGGACGATGAAGCCTTCACTTTGGATTTGCGATTGCATATACCACATACTTTCTAACGATAATGGTTGAGCTCCACAAGTCTTCAAAAGAATGAGGTGTACTCACCCTGTGGTCACATTGTTGAATATAACTTGGGATGGAGAGTGGGATACAGGTATACGGGATGTATTTCCCCCTAATTTCCCATCCAAAATGAGTCCAATTAATATTTGTCCCGTCTTCTCGGAGTCACGTTCTGTTTCCCAAGTAATTGTTAGCTCGACCTTCCCCCCTGGTTGTAGCGTTAAGGACTTCGGGTCAACGTCCATAATCTTGAAACCCTGGACAGCCGATACCAACAAAGTCATGGATAGATACCTTGAATTTATTCAGTAAGAAGTAAAGCACATCCGATAAGACGTACCTCGCTAAGCGTACCATTTGCGCGGGTGGGCATCGAGACGAACAGGAAACACACCCTTTTTGAGACCTTCATGATCTTGTAGCTCATTGATCATCATCTATCTACCCGAAAACGATGTGCGTTTCGACCCCTGATACAATCAACGAACATTCAACTCTGTCGCAGAGCAGAACAAGATATGGTGATTATCGCATGATACTGATACAACAGCGCGTGATGGTGGACGACGGCAATCATACTGAAAAGGGATGGGATGAGGCTTCTGATTCGCATTGGAGGCAAGGCCTACAACGACTAAGTGTACGCCTGGGCCACCTAAAGGGTATGAAAGACTATATGTCTGTAAATGCAAGGCACATACCTCTCCAACTTCATGGACCCGATCTATCTTCCGTATCGCTTCCAATTGATCCGCTATGAATGATACTGCCCATCTAATGATACCCGAAACAACATGGCCCAGAAGCAATCGGCTAAACTTCTCTATCTTCCAATTTCCAATTTTCAGCTCTCCAATTCCATGTAGAGAACGCCACCGGGAGTGGGAAACTAGAAAAGAGATAAAGCATGTCAGATGAAGGGACGAGGGGTGAAGTTGTCAACATTGAGTAGCAAGACGAGCCATGAGAAGCCATTTCGAGAAGCATATGGTGGAGAGGGTAATGATAGGCCAATCCGGGGATTATGTTCAATTTCGGGCCGGTAGTGGGGGCATGTAGAAGATACTCTGGTTGGAGGGAGTATCGCAATGGTGGACGGTGGTCGGAGGAAGGGTTGGAGTAGCTCTGTGGGGACGGCTATAGGTAGTCAAGTTACGTTAAACAGCCTCCTTGAAACTGAACGAAGAGGGGTGACCATACCCATAGGCACACGCTGCCGACAGGATATGAAGAACGCCAACGGCAGGAAATAGATATTGGTATGTATGCTTGCAAGGAATCAGCGACACATGGTGGAATGACCCTGATTAATTCTGCAGGAAGCGGCGGCTGCAAACAGAGAAGTAAGTAACAATTATTCTTCGTTTTCACGTGCTAAGCATTTGATACAGAGATCGAACGCCAATGCTAGGGCTAGGAGAGCTCAGGGAGGCCGCCAAAGAGAGGAGAATTCATAGTGTAATCGTAGTACATACAAGTTGTAGTAACACAATGGATATTCATGATTGCTGGTAACGACACAGTGAATTGGCTTGATTTGTCTTAGGTTTCTTTCGTGATTAACGACAACGACGTCAATTAAAGGCGATTCTTTCGGTTTGTTTCGAATTACCAAACTGAAATAAACTGTCAAAACTAAATTAAAAGAACCGCTTTTTACTGGGAATAAGCTCAGAGGTGCATGAAGATCGAGAAGGTAGTGGGCAAAGAGAAAGTGTAGCTCGGATCGATAGGTGATATCCCGTAAGACGTCTGTATTTATAGTTTTGCTCACTTCCACTACGTACCTTAGTCGTTGCTTCTTTACCACCTCGAGGCTACGGGCGCTAAGGATTAGGGCCTCCCAAGCCACTCCTCGGCTACGCTAACGCCGGTGGCAGTTGTTTTCTTGCCCTCAAACTCATTTGGGATGTAGAGCTGTGCAAACACTGTACTCTCTAGGAAATCCGACTCACAAGCGCTGGTCCAATTGCACTTGTGCGCGTTGGGCCTGAAGACAGACTCTGATTGAGGATAAAACTGAATTTCATCACGATACCGTAATCGCTTTCTTGTCTATCCATGAACCAACGTGAGATGTTCTACGTTCCAAATCAAAGGTCGCCATGAGGGACCCGGATCTCAACATTCTGAGAACCAAGGGCCCGATGAATGACTTGGGGTAACCTCGAGAGATACTTTCAAAATCAACATTGATTCTTCATACCGCAGTGATCATCCGAGTCTGGGCTGAAATTTGAAAGAACGAACAGACAGGGTAGATGAGGTCAGAGAAACCAACACGAATCATACACAACCCAGAAACGTGTTGCACGCCAGGGATACCATCGACGAGGCCTACGCCGAAAAAGGTGACTTCCATTCGCATATGATTCGTTTATTTATCCCTTCGAATGAGGATTCGTGAAATACCACACTTACTCCATGTTCATTTCGTCACCGTCGAAATCTGCATTGTAAGGAGGCGTAGGGCACCGTCTTATAGTTTGGTGAGTCCAAATCCGGGTGAGTTCGGAGAGTAAAAGTCGAAGAGGTCTTTAATAGTACACCGTTCGGGAATCGAACCCGAGCCGCTTGCTTGGGTCTTCCGGGTTTTCGCATGGAAGGCAAGCATGATAACCACTTCACCAACGGTGTCGTGCTAACAAAACCCGCATTTCCTGTATATTATCTCATCTTCGGATGGACAAACAGTGGAGGAAACGTGTTTACAATGTTTACAACGTGATATTCGTCTCTGCCTATATAGACTAAGGATAAAACATCTACGATATTAAACCTCGACGAACCAAACTGTATGAATAACCCAGAAGCAGGTTGTGAGTTGAGACCTTAGATACGCGAGACATAACCTATAGCCCTGTCGGTACGTCGTAGGTCACTACGTCCGTCCTGCCTTCTCGGTCTTGGTGGGCTTATAGGGATGCAGCACAAATGAATACGGTTTCCCGTGTGCCGCCAAAACAATCTCCGATATAGGGAATCGGCCCTACTCTCCAGCGTTCATAGTCATGGGGAAATTGAAGAAAATAGTAGTGAAATTGAATAAAAGAAAAGACAGATCACTGTGACTCATTTCCTCTGAGTTGAGCGATCCCGAACAGGAGCGAACTTAAGGGCCATCCTTCTCTGGTAGTCACCGAAGATCCTTCCAGCGAGACGAATGGAGTGCGTGTGCCAGTCAGCAGCAAGATTGTGGAGCATCCGCTCTCGTGCTAGGGTTGGCTGTGTTGGGGTATGTGGGAGCAGTTCATCCAGGCGAGGTAGGAAACCTAGATAGTAAGTGGAGTATTTTAGTGGCCAGGTTTTGTTGCAGTCTATGAAAAGAGACTTAGCAGCAGATAGACACAGGGTTTGCATGTCGAGCGGAATGTTGCTCTGGTCCAGTCTACGCTTTGTCCTCTCATGAACAACGCTGGCGGCTGCTTCTCTCCATTTCCGATAGTGATTACATGTGACGAAAACATGATGTGGGTCTTCTGAGTTAACGCAACCGGATCGGCATGTTGGTGAGATGATTTTGCGTCTTTCGAAGAGTGTCTCGGCTACTGGGAGCTGTCCAGACCGAGCGTACAGCTGGACGACTGCAGAGTATGCTGAGATGGCTCTACAGTATGGGTATTCCGGTGGGGGCCTTGGGTCATAGATGTTACGTATCATGCGGAGATTGAGACCTTTGCAGATCTCGAACGCTGAGCGCTCTTCGAGTAACTTCTCTGTAAGAGTGCGAATACTGCCCTCGTACCAACCGTGTGGACTGTAGTAGAACGTGTAGTCGTCCATGCAGAACGTTGGTATTGGAGCAGCGAGTATAGACGTGTTGACCTTTTGTGCGGAAGATGCATAATGGTCGGCTGCATGATTGAGTAGGGATGGCGAGGATGTGTCCGTGGTGTGAGCTTTGACATATGCTATGTCTGTTCTCGGACGATTTCGAAGTAGGTGGATGAGCCAGCGGTAGTATGACCGTCCGTTGAGACGTCTGAGTCTCATGAGATTTACGTCTGGAAGGATTCGGGTATCGGAGATAATGCGAACAGCATTTAAATGGTCCGAGTAGATGGTAGCGTGGGCAGTGGAATGATCGTCTGCTGAGAGAATAGTGCTCGCTACAAGGCCTACCATTTCCCCGTGAAGAATGTTTGCGCTAATCCCGTCGACGCGGAGTGCAAGTGATAATTGACCAGCGACAGCCGCTGTGACTGATTTCCTGTCAAGTATGCCGGCTGCTGCTGGGACCATAGAGCCATCAGATGCCCACAGTTTAACACCTGAGTTGCCTGATGGCTCAACAATTGGTGAGAGGCGGTGTATGTGGGCTATCTGACGGACTTGGTTCTCAGCCATCTGTCTTCTGTGATCTCTGGTATACAATATGGACCAGTCACCGTCATGGAGCCACGAGAGTTGGAAATGACTTAGCATGTCTAGCATTTTCCTAAGATTCTCCTTGGCTGCCAATGACCATCCTCGCATTACCGTGATTGACCTTGGTTGAAAGACGTAACGGGCGGTGGAGAGGGACCAAGTCCATTTGCCAAGATGAGATAGTTTGGTAATGTTCTTTGCTCTAAGAGAACGGGTTGTGTTCCCATCCAGGGTCGGCCCAGTACCTGGAGTGTACTGATTGAATACCGACATAAAATGAGACAAAGAGACATCACCATTTAATATGTAGTTTTTGTCAGTCTGCCGAAGTGAGAGGCAACCGTCTAAGCTTGCGAGAGTCTTGTGTGCAATGACCCAAGTTGCCGGTACTTTCTTCCAAAGCTTGGACTTCGAGGTACGCTCGACCTTTTGCAGAGGGTCAATGCAGTGATTCAGCGAGCATGTCCAGTCACTTAGCGTGATTTGTGCCACTGTCTGGTAGGCCGGGATATGATGATTAAGATCTCTAGCAATGCCCTCGATCGCGATTGCTGCATTTATCCGGGCAATTGACGGAAATCCTAGACCTCGGAGAGACACGGGTAAGTGAAGTATACGAGAGTTCATCTGAAACGGAAAACGTAGCTCGTCATGTATCTTGCGAGCTATACGTTTGTCGAGATCCTCTGCTTCATCTTGCTTGATGGGCTGCAATGAGAGGAGGGCTCGACACCGTGATATGATGTTCTGGGATACGATCTTCCTCAACAGCGTGATCGGAGTGATCCGTTGAAATTGAGGAAACGTGAAGCTATCGATGAAATCCCTGAGTTCATGGTACCGAGCTGATGGGTCGTCAACCGCGGCACCTAGAAACTCAAGTTGATCTCGAATTAGCGGGACATCACGTACAGTTACCTTCGTGGGGTCTCCTTTTGTGATGGTGTCAAATGAAACCATTTCTGGTAGTGAACCTGACACGTTAATGGCATAGGCATACGTTTTAGACCACTGTGTGAGCCACCCATAAGCGTACTGAAACTGCTCCATGGCCAAAACATTGGTCCGAAGTGAGGCTAAGGACGTAGAAAAGATATAAGAGTCATCTGTTGCTTCTGCCATGCCGACCAGCACAGATTTACTGTCAGCGGGTAGATGTGGATCACCAGCTTTGCTTGATGCAGATCTGATAATAAGGGCATGAGGATCTAGACGCAGCATATCATTCAGATAGTGATGGCCAAGACTAGTAGTGAGCGTAGATTTGAGCGGTGAAAGAGGACCCCCTTGTTTGGTGACGCCTGAGATGATGATGGGTTCTGTGATACCGTGGGCAGTGCGAATAAAGCATCGGGTATCTGTTTGAGCGGCACGGTCCAGGTCGATGACTGACTGAGGTAAACCATAGGCGCGGACTGCATCGTACATCCCTTCAGGGGAGAGGTAGTCGAATCCTTTCATCTGATCTCGTTTGATGGCGTAAACTGGTTGTTTGTGCCTCGTAGACCAGCATTTAATAGAAGCCAAGAACGACATCAAATCCCGAGTTTGAACATCTTTCTGAGTTGCAACCTGAGTGTCGGGAAGGATGCGAGTTCTTGAGACGTAGGATACCAGATCAGAATTTAGTAATGTCATAGGAGAGTTGGCTATAAAATTAGATAACAAAAGTCCACGCCAGTTCGAGAGATCCGTTCTAAGTCCCCGTTTGTGGAACATAGTCAGCCACATGTCTTTAATTTTGCCTGGGAACTGAGCATTGATAACAATGTAGTTGTGTAGCCGGAGAACAAGTGCAAGAGTTTCGTCGCCAAGGCGCTTGACTACCCACTTTTCCCATCCGTCTGGGCCAGGTGCAGGTCTCGCATTCCCTTTTTGCAGTAGGGCGCGATAGTCATCGACCTGTAGAGTACGTGGCCAGTGAAAGGGATTCTGTTGAACTCTGACTTTGATCTGAAGGACAGATGGAGTAGTTAGCCAGGGTTTCGGCAATGGCGCAGGAGCGTCATGATGGTATAGAGATGACCAGTATTCCCGTGAGACTTCCTTCACTTGTTCAGGATCAGAGACGAGATCATCAGAGTTCGGGCACTTGACAATTAGGGGAAGAGGGACAAACTCTTTGGCTGAGAGAAGCTTTCTTGTTGATCCACCTTTGAGAGCTTCTGATATTCTGAAGTTCTCTTGACGAAGGGCGCGGTCTGCTATCTCCTTTGCACGAAGTTGGTACAAGTCCCGGTATGCCCGACGTTTTTCCTCCAGTATGAACTCTGTTAGAGGGGCATCCACTTTGAGACGCTTGTGTCTGCGAGATAGCTTCTCGTGGGATGTGATTGAAGCATGTGACGGAGAAAACGTGTCACCTCTAGCCATCCGAAGAGCTCCCCCTAGAGATCTAGCGTAGCCCAGTTGACGTTGGATATCCGAGTTGGTGACAACAGAGTCAAGAGGTTTGTAGCGTTTGACCCTTCCATAAGCAGTTTCTGCGGCCGCGTTCATCACTTCACCAAACCTTGTGTAGAGATCCAAGAAAGAACGGTCATCAGTCACCTGAATATCAAAGAGACCTGTGTTACGACATAAACGTTCACAGTCTGTTTTAAAGTTATCGTGGCGATAAGCTTCTTTTCGTGTGGGATATTTGAGTCGAGGCGGGTTGAATACTACAGGGTGCGGGACAAAGATAGATGGTGAGTTGCCAATCTTGAGCACGCAACGACCCAAGACCGCGCGGTGATCTGTGCAGGGGACAAAGGTGTTGCTGGCAGTGACTACCGATATGTCGGAGTCAGCAAGGGCTTGTTGCGAAGAGATTACGCGATCTATAATGCTTCCGCCTGCAGAGTTCTCGGCGCGGCTTTTACAAGTCCAGTCATCAAGACGACTTCTTTCCGGCTTGAGAGACCATAGATCAACACCACCAGTCTCAGACAGAAATTTTAGAAGTGAATTTCTACCATCTACGCCACCAGAGGCACGTTCTGTAGAAATGGTAGTTGCGTTTAGGTCACCAGCAAGAGTCCATGAGGTAGGTGTCTGCTTTACTAGCTTTGTGAGAGCTGGCCAGAAATCCTTGGTTTCGTTCGTACCCGGGTTCCAAGGTGCATAAACCGCGAAGATGCGATGGACGAAGGTAGAGCGATCATTTGTTTGAAGCGCGACATCAACGGCGACTACACGACCACGTAGGTTATTGTCGGAGATGATAAGCCTTTGAATGATCTGGACATCCTTTCGGATACCCAGGACAGTACCCCACTTGTAGAGAT